CCAAATTTCGTAATTTACGACATTTGCGAGCGACAGCGAGAGCACAGTGTCCTCATCGTCAACATTCGAGGTAGTTACGGTGGTGTCTTCAGTCTCCAGTGCGGTGGAGCAGATGTCACAGGTTTTCACTCGACTCGTCCGACTTTGTTTCGTTGAGGGACTGTGTTTCGTAGTAAAACATACGATTTCTGCTATTCAGAAACTTGCAGGTTTTGCTTGTCATTGAAACAGTCCTTTTCTGATTTTTTCCTGTGCTATTTTTCAAAATAAACTTGGTCAATACAAAATAAATGAACAGTAATATGTAGTAGAGAAAAGCGATGCGATGAACTAACAGCAACGAGTGAGTGTATCCGGTCATTTGACCAGACGCGTACACGCGATGTTTATTTGCGGGATTAATTAAGCTAATTACAAATGTTATTGTTTAGGCTCAGAGGGGCTTAGCCGAAGTGCACATTCCCGGGATTTCCGTTACTTGTAAATTATTTTTTAATTTTTTAAAAAGCCGTTTTTTCTTGAAATAAAAACCTGATTTAATAAAAAAACAAGGTCTTATGACTGCCTATATGTATAAGTCACCGTTTAATGAAAGAAAAAAAAGTAGAAGAAAAAAATCACCGCGAAAGTCTACTACATCCTTATAGGGGAACCGCTCAATCCCATGGATTGCACCAAAGAATCAAGGGACACTATTGTTTATGTTGTTTACAATGTTAATCTATCTTTTGGTATCCATTGTTATTTTAATCCAGAAAGTAAATTTGTTGCAGGATTAGGCTTAACTGGAAGGTGCTCCATAGAGAGTATTATACTGTCTAAGTTTGTGAAGATGATACCGTATTTATCCGGGTATAAGCCCAGGGTCTTGAACATGGAAAATTGCCAAAAAGAAGGGGTGGGCGTTTGCCAGGAGATCCCCGGCAAAAAAAACCGAAAATTCGCGAAAATTGACAACAGGCAGATCGAACTGCGGCAGGGAATAGAACGGCAAATGAAAACATGCAACGGAAATAAATGAACACTACGCAACACTAGAAGTAAAACAAAAATAATGTATTTCTTATAATGTGACAAATAAACCAGAAATAATAAAAATCAACAGTGAGAAATCATTTGAATTAGGATTTTCCCGCCGACAAACACGTCCAATACGCATAAACTCAAAATGAATTAATATGTCAGGGTTTAAACTGCGTAAAATGATTTTCGGTCTCGACAAATTACGAATCAACCGTCATGCAAGATCAATATTAATTTACAAA